GTTAGTTGTCCTAAACTGTTTTGTTCTCGTTGCTGTTCAAATCTGACTGGCTTTTATGGCATTTTGCTCTTGAATGTTTCTAGGGAGGTTTCTCCATTTTAAGTTTATAAATATTTGCATTTAAATTAATTGCAATTAAACCAGAATATTAAATTAATTGCAACTAAACCAGAATATGTTTGTATATTTACATTTATATGTGCATACACACTTTTTTTTTTTTTTTTTTTTGAGACGGAGTTTCGCTCTTCTTCCCCAGGCTGGAGTGCAATGGCTCGATCTCGGCTCACCGCAACCTCCGCCTCCTGGGTTCAGGCAATTCTCCTGCCTCAGCCTCCTGAGTAGCTGGGATTACAGGCACGCACCACCATGCCCAGCTAATTTTTTGTATTTTTGGTAGAGACGGAGTTTCACCATGTTGACCAGGATGGTCTCGATCTCTTGACCTCATGATCCACCCGCCTCTGCCTCACAAAGTGCTGGGATTACAGGCGTGAGCCACCACGCCCGGCAGCATACACACTTTAAAAAAAGGTTTTTAGTTTCTTGAGAACACTTCAGTTTTCTAAAGCGACTTTAGTATTACAGCAAAATTGAGAGGAAAGTACAGAGATTTCCATAAAACTCCTTCCCTCACACATGAATAGCTTCTCCCATTATCAACATTCCCCACCAGATGAACCTATATTGACACATCATTATCACCCAAAGGCTAAAATTTATATTAGAGTTCATTCTTGGTGTTGTACATTCTATAGTTTTGAACAAATGTATGATGACATGTATCCACCATTACAGTATCAGACAGAGTAGTTTTACTGTTCTACAAATCCTATGGGCTCTGCCTATTCATCTCTCCTTTCTCCCAGTGCCTGGCAGCCACTGATCTTTTTATTGTTTCCATCATTTGGTCTTTTCCAGAATGTCAGATAGTTGAAATCCTGCAGTATGTACCCTTTGCAGATTACCTTCTTTCACTTGGTCATATGCATGCAAGTTTTCTCCATGTCATTTCATGGTTTGGTAGTTCATTTCTTTTCAGTGCCGAATAATATTCCATTAATGGAATTAATGGAAACAATAATATTCCATTGTTTCGATATGTAGTGCAGTTTATTCATCCATCTACCTTCTGAAGCACATCTTGGTTGTTTCCAAGTTCTGGCAATTATGAATAAAGTTGTTATAAACATGTATGCCTGTTTTTGTGAAGACATAAGTTTACAACTCCTTGGGTAAATACCAAGGAACATGATTAGTAGATCATATGACTAGATTATGTTTAGTGTTGTTAGAAACTACCAACCTGCCTTCCTAAGTGTCTGTACCGTTTTCCATTCCTTCCAGCAATGAATGAAAGTTTCTGTTTTTTTCACATCCCTGATAGCATTTAGTATTATCAGTGTTCTGGATTTTGGCCATTCTAATTCAGCATTTTATATTTTGGTATCTTATGATGGGAGAATATTTTCATATCCTTATTCTTCATCTATATTAAGGTCTTTGGCCTTTTTTAAGATCAGCTTCTTATTGTTGAGTTCTAAGAGCTTTTTATAAGTTTTAGATAACCATCCTTAATCAGATAAGTCTTGCAAATATTTTCTCCCAGTTTGTGGCTTGTCGTTTCATTTTCTTCACAGTGTCTTTCAAAGTAGAAATCTTCCATTTTAATGAAATCCAGCTTGTGAATTCTTTCTTCAATGAATTACACCTTTGGTGTTATATCTAAAACAGCATCACCAAACCCAAGGTTATCTAGATTTTCTACACATATTTTTAATAGTACTATTCATCTTTCTCAAAATTTTGGATGCTCATTTGTTTTTGGTTCTGCTTATCATATTTTTAACCATACAAACAGGTTTACAGTTTTATGTAAAGTGTTTTTTATTGCTTCTCAATTTTGTAACAAGGAAACTTTTTTCACAATTCCAAGTAAAAAGAAATGTATTTTATTTTATGCCATAATGTACCATAATTGAATGATCTTCAGATTTATTCTATATTGTTAAGTTTAAAAAGCAAGGTTCAGAACAGTGTGTATAAAATGCTGTGGTTTTTTTTAGAATGTGGTGTGTGTGTAGTCACACATGGGTGCTTCTATACACATTCATACACATCTGTATGCATAAAAGGCAAATTAAAGGATAAACCAAAAAATAGTGAAAATGGTTATCTATGGCGTGTTGCGGTGAGGCAGTCAGTATGATAGAGGCAACAGGGATGAAAGCAGGATCACCTGTCCAAATACATTGCTTGTTTTATAGTTTCAACTTTGGAACCACATCGATATTTCATGTAATTATAGAGCAAAATTAAATCAAAATTAAATACAGCAAACCCTAAGAAAATTAAATCATGAATTTAACTGTGTATCAAGCTGATGACTTATTTTAAGTGACTTTATAGTAATATAATTATACATCTCTAGGGGCATATATTTTAAGGGTAGAACAATTGAAGGAAACAAATACTTGATAATCAAGTATTACTAATATGACATTTAGTAATATGATATTTTTATTTTGAAACCATAAAATTTTATGATAAAGCAAATACTCATTAAAATCTCTAGTAACCAAAATTTGTAGCGTAAGAGCAAAGACGGGCAAATGTATCAAAGATATATATTTAATTTGTATATATTTTAAATGCAATCAAAAATTAGTATGAATTTATGATATATATTTTTATCCTTCAAAACATTTATATTTTCTAGCTTTGTTCAATGAAAAGACCTAGAAATATGAATAGCACTCTAGCAGTAAGCTTCATTGAGTCTTAGTTGTAATCTTTGAATACCAGTTTCCACTAAGAAGAGCCAGGGCTTTTTTGAAGAAATGTCTGATTCCAGATCTTAAGTAGGAAATATGACATAAGCCTGAAACATCTTGTTATAACAGAAAGTAGTAGAGTTAAGAAAGATAGCGAGGTCATGTCATAGGAACCAGTTTGAAGAGACTACCATTGGCCAACAATGGGACTATTTTAGCAAGAAAAAAAGACTGCTAGGATTGATAAACGTCAAATATGTTCAAAAGCTAAGAATCATAAAGATACAAACAAAACAAAATAAAAATCCACACTGATCACCTCTGGAGGGTACTGGGGGATAAAGTCATTTTTGGTACTGGAATCATGTACTTATCCTATTCTTCCCATAAGGACTTTATTTGAAAGTAACGAAGTAATGAATGAGATTAATTTATTCTTTATAGAAGGATTTTTACTAATAAATGAAGAAAGAATAATAGAATTAGACTACCGCAAGTTTACAACCTTTATTTATTAAAGTAATATCTGTACACAGTAATCATACTAATATCCTCAGGTGAAACATGGATAGGGAGCAGGATACTATTAATGGATAGACCCAGCTGACAACATATGACCCCACTGGTCAAACTTAATATTGCAGAGGGACAGCCAGTTGTTATATGTCAACTGATGATGGCACAGTAGAAAGTACACAACTTTTTAAAAAATTGAACTCGTTCAAGCCCCAACATGTACCAGTTTATACAGCATATATGAGATAGAGGAACAAACTAAATGACATTTCAGAATGCTGTTAACCAAATCTCGATGCCAGAAATTCTCCAAGATAAATGACCCAGTTTCTTGAATAAGTAATAGGCAGGAACTAAAAAGGATGGGGGAACTGTTGGAGATTAAAAGAGAAAGAAAATATCAACCCAAATGCATTATTTAGATCATGCTTGGATCTTGATTTGAAAAAAATATATATAATAATTGGACTCATCAGGGAAATTTTAACAATGACTGAGTTTTAGGTGATATTAAGGAATAATGTTATATATGTGAAATTATTGTGTTCATGCTAAAAACAATTCTTATCTCTTAGAGATACAAATGAAAATATTTACCAGTGAAATGATATAATCTCTGGAATTACTTTTTTTTTCGAGACAGAGTTTTGCTCTTGTTGCACAGGCTGGAGTCCAATGGCATGATCTTGGCTCACTGCAACCTCTGCCTCCTGAGTTCAAGCAATTCTCCTGCTTCAGCCTCCCAAGTAGCTGGGATTACAGGCTTGTGCCACCATGCCTGGCTAATTTTGTATTTTTAGTAGAAATGGGCTTTCATCATGTTGGTCAAGCTGGTCTTGAACTCCTGGCCTCAGGTAATCCAGCTGCCTCTGCCTCCCAAAGTGGATTACAGGCGTGAGCCACTGCGCCCAGCCTTCTGGAATTACTTTTAAATAATCTTGTGAAGGGGATAAATGGAAAAGATCATTTATCTTGGATGACAATTACATAAGGTTATTACAGTATTTTTTACACATTTGAGTGTTTGAAATTTTATGTTATGAATTGTTCTTAATTTTAAAAACTAATTCAGCTTTAATTTTTTTAATTAAAATGGAATCGAATTTCATAAATTACCAAAATAAGAACTTTCCCTTTTTCTTTGAAGATGGAGTCTTGCTCTGTCACCCAGGCTGCAATGCAGTGGTGCAATCTTGGCTCATTGCAACCTCTGCTTCCCGGGTTCAAGCAATTATCCTGCCTCAGCCTCCCGAGTAACTGGGATTACAGGCGCATGCTGCCACACCTGGGTAATTTTTGGTGTTTTAATAGAGATGGGATTTCTCTGTGTTACCCAGGCTGGTCTCAAACTCCTGAGCTCAGGCAGTCTGCCTGCCTTGGCCTCCCACAGCGCTAGGATTATCGCATTACAGACATGAGCCACCATGCCTGGCCAATAACTTCCATAATTTTAAACCTGAACAGTTGAAGTATGTCTGTCTACACATGTATACCTGCAGAAATATTAAAGAATTTGTTCAGCACAAATGTTGTACTTGCTCTGGAACCAACACATACTTATCTTGAAACTATAGAATGAATCTAAGTTTTTCTTATAAGTCGTTCTCACATTTATCAGTAACACCAGAGAAACCTTTGAGGTAGATCTAATGCTCTGTATTCTTCCTATCATACCTCCCTCTCACCAAGGTCCTAATACTTATTTTTCAGGTACAGCAGGTACAGACTGTGCAGCAGGTACAACATGTCTATCCAGCTCAGGTGCAGTATGTGGAAGGAAGTGACACTGTCTATACCAATGGAGCAATGTAAGTTTGTATGTAGAAGTCTTTTTAATTCATCCACTCAGAAAATAATGTACTTTTGAACCCCTCCCACTATTCCCAAGTTGTTTCCTTGTTTTCAAAGTAATTTGCTACTAGAACAGTTACTGAAATTAAGCTGATTTTAGAGCTTTTGTCTATATTTATTAAGAATATGCACTCATTTTCCTTTGACTTAACCTCATAGGTTTTTTAAAATTATTAAAAGTCTTATGCCCTTTAATAGTTGTTTCTAGGTGGAGAAAAAAATGTATATATCCCTTGTTAGTGATATCTGTATTTTAATGATAGCTTCTAAACTCTACGCTTTTTGTTTTTATATGCAAGGTGAATTTTTATGTGTACGTATGTGTAAATGAATATAAAACCAGTATGTTAGGAATTTGGGGTATTTTCAACATTTTGAAAATAAGATATTCCACATAAAATTGCCTGATGCTCAGTAAATCTTACTTTCCTATCTAAACCTGCCCCCGCCTGAAACCAACTTACCTCTTTTGCATCAACAATAGTGTAAATTTGTAAATTTATTTTATTGGGTTTCTTAGCTACTTTGGAATGAGATGCAGAATGTTAATATAAGTAAAGGAACTGAGAATTATTGTAAGTCGCTAGGATTGTTTCCAAGTTGGATTTGCAACCCGTTGACTTCTTTGGTAAACCTGAAATGAATTCAGGTTCTCTCACTGACTCTTCTGCCCACCTCCCACCAATGTTGGTATACCCCAGGATGATAACCTCTACTATCTTTATTCTTATGACATCTACTCTTTCCGTGGGTGATTTCATTTATTTCCATGATGTCAACCTGTAAGTTCCATGAAAGAAGGATTTCTTTTGTTTTTGTCAACACTGTAATAACGCTTAACACCAGAAGCATGGAGGACATATGAGTTCAATTGTTGTTATCTGTTGTTATTATAGCTAGAAACAGAATTCTAGTTAGCTTTGTATTCGTTTTCATAATTGTGACCAACATACTTAAATAATCTGAGCTTTTCATTGTTGTTTCTGTGGAAGTGGGAGAAGAATAATCACACTCTTATTGAGTTATTGTGAGGATACAAGGAAATGTATTTAAAGTACCTAACACAGAGCCTGGTACATAATACATGATACAAAACTGAAAGCTTTTCATTGACTCTGCCTTCTCTCTTTTCTTACTATATTTGGTCACTGAATCTACCCACATCACTAGTGTCTTTAATACTACCTCCATTACCTATAAAATAAAATCTAACATTCCACATTGGCATTCTCCCCATCTCTACCTCCCTAACCTTATTTTCTACCTTCTAGGCATAACCAACTTTGTGCATTTTTCCCCAAATATTCTCCTTTCATACTTCTGTTTTTGTTCATGTTGTTTTCTCTCTGCTGAAGTAGCATTCTGTCTTCTCTCCTTTCCTTCCAGTCTCCCCAAACCCAGTCTAATGTGATCTTTATGGACAGACATGTCACCCCTTTTTTGTAACATAGACTCTTGACTCTCCCGCTCTGCAGTTAGCTTATCCTTCCCTTATAAAGGGCAACATTGTACACTGACTTTTACTTCCAGCATTGTACTATGAATGCTTGTTTATGTTTCGTATAGTAGGAAGAACTCTCCCTGAATGGGAACTTGGCATTTTGTTTTATTTACATTTACTTAGGTGGCTGGCACATAATAAAGTCAATAAATTTCTGTTACCCTATTAAATCTATAGCTCTTTACATATTTTAGACATACTGTGAATGTTTTTCACTCTACCTGTTTGTTGTATATGTCCAGGGCCCCCTGGAGCCTGATTTTGGAATCTTCACCATAAACTTAAACTACTGTTGGCATTTATACCAAATGAAAAAGACGCCTGCCACTTCGACCTTTATGCTGTCAGGGAAAATAAATGTCTTTCTAGACACTGCTAGAGGTCACCCAGTTGTCAGTTGCCATTTCATCTTTGTCTGTGACAAGTAGTAATGGTCACCTGCAGGGGAATCTCAGAATGGGAGTTTGTAGCTTTCATGTCTGTTGTGGTAGAATGTGACAAGGGAAAAGGGCAGTTGGAATGGGTGTTGAGAGAGTTAACTGTATAGTATGTATCACAGTTATTTCTCATTTTGTACTGGTCCAAGCTAAGGTGGAGAGATTAGTCTGTTATGTATGAAATGGAGTACGAGTTGAGCCGAAAATCTGAAATCCAAAATACTCCCAAATCTGAAACTCTTTGACCACCAACATAATGCTCAAGGGAAATGCTCATCATGCATTTCAGATTTTAGATTTTCAGATTAAGGATGCTTAACTGATAAGTATAATGCAAATATTTCAAAATGTGAAAAAATAAAAAATTTGAAACACTGCTTGTTCCAAGCATTTTGGGTAAAGGCTACTCGATGGGTAACCTCAGTTTATCAAAAGTGCTTCATGAACCATCTTAAGAATAGTAAGCACTCAACAAACGTTAGTTATTGCTGTAAAATTATACACTTTTGTTATTTGTTTACAACTTTGCTTCCCTATTTACGATTCTAAATTCCGCATATTGTGTTGTGCAGTTTTAAACTGCTTTACCACTGATCTTAGGGTCTTTCACATAGTAAGTAAACATGAGTTGAATGAATTTACTCATTCATAAAACCTTAGAAAAATAGCATTTGTAACGTGGTTCTTTAAAACTCTAGGGCCCATTTAAGTGCAGAAATGATACAAAGCAAAATATCTAGTGGTAACATGTATTTTCTATGGCCAACTAGCTCAGTTGGTTAGATCATGACTAATGAGGTCTAGGTCATGAGGTCATTTGTCACAAAGTCCAATTAGCTTTGATCTAGTCTGTGTGGACTCAGATTGTATCCTCAACTCTAGCCAATAATGTTACAAATGTGCACTTTTGGTCAAGAGAGAGAAGTTGCATCTTTAAAAACCTTTCATTACTATCAAGGATAATTTTTGACTAAAGGTTCTGTAGCATCATTTTTATACTTAATAAGGAAAAATCATTGTGTTGCCATGAATTATACTCAAAATTTAGCAACTAGGGACTATGAATATTTTTTCTCAAATATGACTAGAAAATTTTTTTCAGCACAAGCTAATTCAGTCTGTCTGTAATTTTGTGGTGCTGACATTTGACTATTAAAATTTTTGTCTCTAATGTTCATTTTAGGGTCTTTCTATGGCTTCTTTTTATTTGGTACACTTCCATGTGTGTTAGGAAAGAATATTCCATATTCTTCTATCCTACCACACTTAATTAATAGCAAGTTAGTGTTTGATCTCTGACTTGGATCACAGTTCAGTCCCACTTCTGTGTGATAAAAAATGCTTTTTGCTAATGATACTTTCAGAAGATAGGGACTCTGATGTTTATCATGAACTTTTGAGCACTCAGTACATGGCCCTAAAACCTGGGCATGCTTAGTAAGTTCACTAATGCTCTTGTCACCAGCATCCGCATGTCATGTAGCCATAATGCATGGGGTCTCACTCAGGAGGTGATGACAGCCCTCACAGACATGTGTCGTCACTTATGAAAACTTGTAGTCATTCTAATTTGATGATACTGAAGAGTTTGCCAGGTTCTCCCTGTGAATATGGACAATTATTGCCAGCATAACAGGCTTAACAGTGTGGGTTAGTGAGTGAGCATACATTTCAATTAAACAACTGAGACTGCTTTACAGCGCTAGATGTTGGAATAGAGTAGTTTTTTGCTTAAGGGAGAAAAAAGTAATTTTTGCAAAAACACTTTTGCCCCTGTTTATTTTATCCTTGCTTCTGTAGGAACTGATGCTACATCATTTGTGTATTTCCTTGCAGTAGTTTTTCCAAAATTTTCCCAAAGGCTTGATCATCATCTTTATTTCTATAAATTCCTACTATTTATGATATTTAATCATTTAGAATACTATAATTAAACCTGCTGGGAAACATTGCATACCATGTAGAGAGAGAGTTCATTTCAATGGAAATTTCTTGGTGTAGCTAAGAAATAACTTTTTAAAAATAAAATGATTTTTTTCTTCCCCCACTCTCTTTTGACTCATACTTCCCCCACTTGCTCCTACATTATGCTAGTCAAAATGGAAATAAAGACATCATGCTGTATTATGGTCAAATTAAGAAATCTTTATTTTAAAGGATTTTCTTATATAAATCACTCTTTGAAGCTTGCCCACTGTTTACAATCAGTGTTTTAAAATGCAAAAGTATTCATAATATGGATATCTGTTCTAGTAGTCTTCCTGTTTAGATTATAGGTTTCTCAACTCCAATACATAACTTCTCATACCATGATCCATCATGCGTTAGTCCCATGAGAGTTCTGTGGTTACACGAGCAGGGAAACACTGTGTGATTCCCTTTCTCTTGAGAACCCTCAATTCCTTTTAACCTTTTAAAAGCTCTGAAAAGTCCTATAGCAATGCATAGAACCACAGAACACTTTTATCTGAATAATGTCTAATAAAATCACATTGTATGCTTTGGGAAATGGTACACTAATATATATTGACACTGAATAATTAAAAATCCATTTTTAAAATATATACCTGTAGTCATCTCTGGAAAATCATGTATTAATGCATTTTTAAAATCATTTAATTCTTTTTCCATAAGGTTTAAATTATTAATAAGGAGCCTTAAAAGGGATATTCTTCAATCCCTTTTCTTCCCCTATAGGTAAAATATTAAATTTCAGTTTTTGCAAGTGAGATTATGCTTTCTTCTTATTATTCAAATGCCCTCTCCTTAAAGAAAATGGTTACATGGAATTCTGTAATTGAGATGGAGGGCTGCTTTCTTCATTTATGCTTCTACTGATGTACAACACATTCTGACTGGTATAGGAGTTAGTTTGTCCATCTACTTCCTATTTAGATTTCTCTTGAAGAGAGGTCTGCCCTTCTGTGGAAAAGACTATGGAAGGGCACCTTATTCTCTCTCTAATACCTAGAACAATGGCCATTGATAGGTGCCATCAATCTATATTTGTTGAATGAAT